TTATATATATATATATATATATATATATATATTATGTATATATATATATATATATATATATTATTTTAGTATATATATATATATATTTAAGTTTATTATATATATATATATATATATACTTTGTAATTTGCAATAATTCTTTTTCATGTGTATCTAAATGCATTCGACGCTATGTCATTTGTAAAAATATATATATTTTTTTAATTATTTCGATTTGGAATTATGTCCGATTTGGAATTATATTGCGTTATACACGACGCGAGATTCGAATTGCTCATCTACGTTTTACATCGCTGTAAGTCTATTTCTCGAGTCACACATATTGAGATAATCAGTCTCATACGGAAGAACTAGATGAGATATCGTCCAGTATATTAACCGGGTTAATGCAGGTTTCAGCCAATTTTCGCTATCGCAACGTCACAGCATGATCGCACAGTTCACACTGTCGATTTAGCAAATTCCATAGCAGTATGAAAATACACTTATTAAGCAACTTTATACTTATAAATAAAATTTCACTAAATTTAACAAAAAAATTCTTTTTTCGAAGATAGAAAGACTTACAATTAATATTATCATAAAACTGTTGAATTTCTAGCAAACAGCAATACAATGTTAAAATCGCACGTAGTATAATTTTATGCATTATTAAAAAAAAGGAAAATAAATATATATGAAAGAATTATAAATATTAAAAAAGTTTAACAAATATTCTTAAAGAAAATTGTTTTGTGCAATTTCAAAATATATTTATTAATCCTTACATAAATTTCAAATTTTTGAATGATTTTATTGACATATGCATAATTTTATTAACTCAACAATATCTAGTATTTTTAATATTTTTCTTTTACTTTTTCACACATTTCTTCTTTATTTTTATATAACATCTCTTAGGATAGAAACCATTAATTTTCGCAATATCATGTTACGTAACTTATCAAAATCTTATTGCGTGTTTGAAAATATTAAAGATCTCATTTACAAGGCAGCGCAAAACAATCCGAAGAGCTCTATTGACTCGTATGAAGATACATATTTGTCTCATGTCTAATTAGCGATTAATTATTAGCTTAATTAATCTAAATGATAGTAGCCTTGATATAGAATAAGTTAGGTTTCATATCTACCGGAAAATATTTGATTGCAATCATGAAGTCATGAATGTATCTAATTCAAACAGTAAATTTTCATTAGAGCAAGCAGAAACCGTTTGAAATTATTCAAAATCTCAAGCTTTTTATATGAATAACGAACAATGTGTTGCAATAATTTACGCATAATAAATTAAGAAAATAAAATCAACAATATTGTGAAAATCAACAAGTAACACACATTTAGTAGAAATAGAAAATGAAAAATATTAAATTAAATTATCATCAATCAAAATGAATTATGTAATATCTCACACATACACATACACACAGAGCAATTCCGATGATGTTTCTATCTTCGTTTCTATTCTATATAATTCGGAGATCATTGGCCTCGGCAGTAGTCGGTTTATTGATTGCCATTTCTCCCATTTGTTCCCTAACTATATTTATCATGAATTGAATTTAATTTATAAAATGTCCGGTCGGCGTTGCCTGTTCAATTTTACTATAACTCTTTTGAAATTGACTTATCTTTTGAGTTTATTTAATTATTTAATTATTCTTGCGCATCATATACATGCACATTTATTATCGTTAATTTAAATATTTTCTATTTTCTTTATTTTTTTATGTATTATTTTTCAGGATCGGACTTAGTATAGCCACAAAACCATGGCTTTGGTTAATAATTTCCTTGTGTCTAAACCTCATTTTTGGTTTCGGATTGTTGCTATGGAAGGAGGAAATCGACGAAGTCGAACTATACATGCCAATAGATTCTACATTTCGCAAGGACGCTGCCTGGGTGAAGGAACACTTTCGAGACGATCTCAGGCACGAAAGTGTCATCATCACTGCTCCCAACGTACTGGATCCCGAAGTGCTGCGATCGGTACATAGGCGATCATGAATTATACGAGTATCAGTGAAGGTTCTTTTCCATATTAATGCACACTTCTCCCCGTGATAGTTAAACTAACTTCTCGTCACATTCCTCCAAAACTGTCGCGATGAAACTTTTTCAAATTGCGTTTTAAGATGCTCGATCAACAATCAGTGATCATCAAATTTATGTGTTATGTATTTTTTTTTCTCCTAAATAATTAGACTGAATATACGCATTACAATAGAAAAATCTTTCTAATTAATTTTAATTAATATTACTTTCTCATTACCGTTATCAATTTTTGTAATATTTACTTAATTAAGGAATACGTTACGGACCATTTTTTAATTGCATTAATGATCGTTAATTATGTTACTTGATTACAGATCAGAGATATTGAAAGAGATGTGAAGAATATAATAGTAAATAATAATACTTGGGAAGATGTGTGCGCTGGGTAGGTATTATTTTTAATGTAAAAATATGATAATTTTATGTGAATTTATAAAGAAAATATTTGTATTGTAGCTACTTTACGTGGTTCCAAGAGGATGACAAATGGGAAACTATGAATAAAACTGAGTTCCCCGAGGAATATTTACCTATTATAAACGATACGATGGCGAAAGAACCTTGTATCCATAAATCGCTCCTGAAGATATGGCAAAAGCACGGTATCGATAAATTAACAAAAGCAAGGATATTAAAAGATGTTACTACAACTTTGAAAAATACGTAAGTTGTTGAAATTTCATATAATAAAGTCGATGAAATTCGAATAAAATACGATATACAGTTTAACGTGTTGTATATTAATACAAGACGTCTTGTATTAATATGTCTTGATTTTCATAAAAAAGAAACTTTTTATTTCTAAATAAGACATTCTTTTACTTTTTGAGAGAACTTAATTTCGTGTAAATTTAACATTTTTTTAACATCAAAAGATACGATTATGGTTATTACTTTTCGGCCTTAATTTTTTTTCAAAATTTTATGTCAATAATATGTATGCGTAAAATAATATAATAACGTATTATTCTGTTTTTTGTTTGTATATTAATTTATTTTAATGCAGAAATACCAAAAATACACTGGCCGATATCGAGCCGTTATTAGGAGGTATCGAGTATGACGAGAATGGGAGAGTGAAGAATGCAAAAGCGACAATTTTATACTGGATACTAAAGAAATCTAATCCACAATCGCCGGAATGGGAGGTCGAGTTTATTGAGAGGGTACTACACTCGAATCGCATTTTGCCACCAGGCATGGAGATCTATGCGATGACATTGCGCAGCTACCAAGATATGTTACACGAAGTGGTCAACAGCAACATGACTGTGTTGTTCTGTGGCATGTCATTGATCACAATCTACGTGATTGTAATGATCGGCCGGTGCAATGCGATGCAGCAACGAATATACTTGTCTCTCATGGGCATTTCCGTGGTCGGTCAAGCTCTCCTATCATCCTATGGGGTGTGCTATTACATGGGATTTTTTTACGGACCAGTGCATCCGATTTTACCATTCCTGCTACTTGGTATCGGTGTCGACGACATGTTCGTCATCATGCAAAGTCTTGAAACTTTATCAGAAGCGGACAAATCCTTAAACATCCCTGACCGTATAGCGAAGTCCATTCAAGTATCAGGTACGAATGAAATCTTGACAAATTTGATGTTGATAGAGGATAAAAATAATTCATACCATGTATGCAGACGTATATGTTCGGAAACTTTAAGAATACATAGATTGAAAATATAAAAAGTTTATGAGATTGCATATTTGCATTTATATAAAAAAATCGTTGGAATAAAAACTTTCAAGATAATTTATATATAACTCGATTAATATAGCTTTTATATATATATATATTTAACTTCACGTTTATAGGTATGTCCATCACTGTGACATCGTTCACCAACATGGTGGCCTTCGCCATCGGCATGACGACGGTGATGCCATTCTTAAAATCCTTCTGTATGTTCGCCGCAATGGGTATACTGTTTCTCTACATCTACGAGATCACATTCTTCGTCAGCTGTCTGGTATATGACGAAAGACGATTAGCAGCGAAGAAGGAGGGCTGCTGTTGTCAGCCGCGACCTAATTGGCGATCGAATAAGTGTAGCAATCAAAATTTTCAGCGACTCGTTTTTGAGAAATACGTCGGGCCTTTCGTGATGAGAACACCAATAAAGATAATTATTTTGTTAGTTACCGTTATCTTACTGTGTGTTAACATATGGGCGATATTTCATTTGAATCAGAATTTTGATCCGCTTGTATATCTAAATCAAGAATCTTATCCTATACGATTTAACAACAAATTGAAGGAACATTTTCCCAAATATGGCAAGAATGTCAACATATATATGACAGGCGTGGACTATTATGAGGATCGCCAGGCACTATCCCAACTAGTAGATAATCTCAAGCAAAATCCGTATATTAATAATCGCACTTTGGACCCATGGTTTATGGCATATGAGAAATGGCTGAACACTACTGGCAAAGGTAATTTGATTGCCTATATATATATATATATATATATTTTAGATATACAATTTATTGATATAACATTGTTGATCAGCACATTATATTGAGGATAAAGATGAATATTACAACATACTGACGGAATACCTCCTGTTCACGGTGAAGGGCCAAGCATATATCCAGAATATGAAATTCGATAAATTACCTTTTAATGATTACAATATCACGGTAGGTAAAAGAAAGTTAGTTCTATAATTTATAGATAATTCTATAATCTATAGATGTAAAATACATAAAACATTGAGAGGTCCTTTTAGACGTCGCAGATTGCAATACAACACATTCCCGTGACTACATCATCTGATCAAATACGGGCTATGCAATCGATTAGGGATAATGTGAAGTCGGTGAATTTTACTCGAGGGTACGATCACATAGCGATTTATTCATTAGATTATATATCATGGGCATCGAACAAGGTAAAGTTTTATGAAAATCTTTTGTTTAGAGTTCTTCTATAGATGTATTACTAATTAATATATTAATATATTACTAATTAATTAATTTTATAGATCATTGGCGAAGAATTGATCAGAAACTTGAGCCTAGAGATTATGGCAGTAGGAATAGTAACTTTGGTGCTACTTAGAAATCTAATCGCATCGTTTTGGGTTATGTGCTGCGTGCTGTTCACGCTCGTCAATCTTCTAGGCTCAATGTATTTCTTAGGGCTGACTATTGAAATCTCATCGACTATTATGATCTTATTGTGTGCTGGATTAGCAGTCGATTATGCCGCACACATTGGATTGGAATTTATACGCTCAAGTGGCAATAAGCAAGGTCATTGTCATATATGATAACATTGCATTTTTCTGTTTTTTTATAGTACGGAATAAAAGAATTTTATTCAGTAGAATTTATCAATATTTTAAAAACAAAATAAAAATGTATATTTTTGAATCAATTAGAATCTTTAATTAAATGGATTACTTAAATTTTTAAATAATTTAAATGAAATTGTAATTAAAATTAATATATATATATATATATATATATATTATATTTTTTATGCGAAAAATTAGAAAAGAATTAGAATTCTTCAGTAATGCATAGTTTATCATAATTTCTCATCTATATCATATTTGCAGAACGAGCATTAACAACACTCAGCGTTATTGGACCGGCAGTGTTTAATGGTGGCCTGAGCACATTCCTCGCCTTCGTCCTATTAAGTTTTAGTCAAGCTTACGTTTTCATAACTTTCTTTAGGGTATGGATAATGCTATCAAAAGCATAATTGCTATACCAGCAATAAAATAGAAATGATATATATTTCCTATTGTTTTAGTTGTTTACATCTGTAGTACTATTTGGTTTGTTTCATGGGTTGCTATTTTTGCCGGTGATATTAAGTTTAGCGGGACCTGGTGAAAGAAGACAAGACAGCCCAGAAAAAAGTCAGGATATACATCACAACGGTTACTATACCGTCCATCTGCCCCAAAATGGGAAAGGTAATATTTTTAAAATTTCACTATGTTACAAAACGCAGTTTTCTCGAGACAAAAACAGATTAATTTTATTTTTTTTCTTGTAGATACAGAAGATGCGCTTGCTAAATGAATTTAGCAATGCTTCAAAAGGCTGCTTAGGTAAAAATATTTTGTAGATAATTGTAGCACTGATATTTGTATGATTGTGGAACGAATGTGCGCATATTACATTGCAACAATGTATGCGCCTATATGTCTCTCTTTTTGTCTCTATGTCTTTCCATTCTTTTATATATATACAATATATATATATATATATATACAAAACAAAATTGCTAAGTAAATATATCTTTCGTACCAAAAAAATTGGAAATTATCTGTTTCGTCTATTGGTAACCACTGTCCATCCATTTTTCTCTTGTTCATTCCTATCTATGTCCATTTCTTCGTCTGAACTACTATCTTCTTTTATTGGTTGAGAATGATTAACTCGAGTTGATTGAATAGATCGTTCTAAATTCAACCAGGGCTGCAACGGTGGTAATTTCTCAAACTCTACTTTCGCCGTGGCTTCATTGCCTTCCATACAATACCGATAAAACCTTAATAACTCCTCTGCTACTTGTACAGTGCTGTCATCTTGTAATTCTGTATTAAATTGATCGTCCATGTAGTCTTCCAATTCAGCAGCAACCTGGCCACTGGTCAATCCCTCTAAAAAAAGCAGAACCAAACATAATTCAGTATTTTGATATTATGTATTAAAAGAAAATAACATACCATTCATATATAATACTTCTGTTATATATGAACAGAATTCAACTGCACTTTCTACTGGACCCATGTCGTTTTCTACTGACAACTAGAAATAAATACATTTTTATTATACAAAGTAACAGTAAAACAAGTTTTCCGAATTTTACAACATATAGTTCCTATGTTCAAAAGTAGAAGTTTAAGCAAAAAAGTTTTCATTGTAATATGTATGTAATAAAACAGAAATGTATTTAGGAAAGAAAAAGTAAAGAGATCTAGAACATTTCGAGAAATATTATAACATTTTGAATGTTTATTTCTTAAACGTGTAAGGAAATCAGGGATTACAAGAACTTACTCTTAAAGCTGTCCAATTACTGAAGATACGTTGCGTGACTGTCAGAAAAAATGGCTTAGTTTGCTCCATTTTTAAGTTATACAATTGTATTCGACCATATAATATTTTTTTTTTATAAACACCGGTTTCTAGAGTCACCAAGCCATATGATTCTTTCGAGATACGGCTACATTGAATGCTTTCCATTTAGTGACACAAGTCGACACAAATATCATTTTGTCCTTGTTAATCATTGAAAGCCAAGAAAGATAGAACGATACCTGTGTCAACTTATGTCACTAAATGGAAAGCACCCATTATTACTTTATTAGGTCTTGTGTCCATGATGCTAGAAATAAATCCGAGATCTCGGGTGGGAAGAGAATTGACCAATTACATTTGAATAATTCGGTCAATTAACCAATGTGATTGGTCAATTCTCTTTCCGTCCGAGATCTCAAACCGATTTCTAGCATCGTGCATATAAGACCTTAGGATACGTTGTTTTTTGCACATTTCGCGCAATACACAGTAGTAATATATGGATAAAAATATAAAATGATTATTTTCTTGCGAGCTCTTAACGACTGAAAAAAATTATGAAAAAGTTATTAAAAGATTAATATCAGATTAATACTGACAAAAGAAAAATAAATGTCAGTTAAATTAAAATCCTTTAAACAAAAATTTTTGTATATTGGAAGCGTTCCGAAACTTCAAAAGAAACGTCTCATCATAAACTTATATATTACTAGAATATTCTTAGATTTATTTTACCATTAAAATATAAAAAATATATAACCTTAATAAATATATAAAAATGTATAAACGATTTTGACTAAATTTTGATTAATTTAGGCTTTCCATTTTCATTAAATATATAAACTTTAATCATGATTTAATTTACTTTTTTATTTTATTCTAGTTTTTGATTAAAAAAAAGATAAAGAATAATTAAAACTATGAAATTAAAACTAAAATTAAGCTACATTAAGGAAAAAACATTAATTGTTGATTAAATTAATTTAGTTGAGAGGCTTGTATGAATACAGCTGAGATTTTTACACTTGGCTCGCACGGATTGGCCAGAAACTCAAAATATTTGTTTTGAATCTCACGATTTTTTAAAGAAATTCCCTAGTTCTTAACCAATTAGAATCTCGCAAAATGACATTTTATGTGGATTGGTACAATAAGTCATCATACTTCGTCGGGTTGTGGGAGAAATGAGGAATCTTCGGGGTTGTCCCGCGAGTCACTCGAAACGTTTCCGTCTGATGGTGAATGATTCATACGTCTATCATCGGTATTGGAGCTGTAATTTTTAATCATTTCTTTGAATTCTGAGTCGATTTTTCTGTATAAGCGAATTCTGTGCCACATAAGATTAATAGTAAGTAATCTGAGTTTACAGAAAGAATTTGAAGAGATGTCAAGTCTCAATCATCTGACTAGTCAATTTAACTGCGATTCTGCTAAGCTTAATTAAACTCGATTTATCATGCGATAAATGCCGGGTTCATTTGGACTAAAACGTATATTGTTTGCATCATCTTGAGACATATTTATATAACGTTGCAGATAAAAGAAAAATTGCGTTATTTTTACTCTGAAAGGGAAATGTTCTTGAACAATTGTTTTGCAATGTACCTTATTTTAAACAAAAAAGAATTTTAATAAATATATAGTAAATATAATAGAATGAATCTGATATTTAGAAATAGTGATGTTATATTATTCGGATCTGGATATACATAAATTTGCATCAACAATCCATTATTCGATATACAGTCTATTTATACGAAATGCATAAATTTCAAGTGTTTCTTTAAATATCGTAAATATTTTATTTTGAATGTTTTTTTTATAGTTTCATAACACCAGTGATTCATTGCAATTAACAGAAAATAATGGAGTCGAAAGTCAAGCCAGAAAATGAAACTGAATTTAAGCCGAGAGCATATCAGATAGATCTGTACGAAAAGGCAATACATAATAATACAATAATCTACTTACCAACGGGTGCAGGCAAGACATATATAGCTGTTATGCTCCTGAAACATCTAAGTAGTGATATATGCAAGTATGTATCTCTGAACAGATATGTTTCTGACTTTGTTATACAACAGATTTTCCTTTAATCATCAATAATTTATACTATTTTAATATTACATATTCGATGATTTTAAAAGTTTTTTATTTTTAGACCTTATCAGGAAGGTGGTAAACGCAGTATATTTATTGTAAACACAGTAGCATTGGCAGCACAACAAGCAAACTATTTGTGCAGACACACAGGCCTAAAATGTAAAAATTACAGTGGTGATATGCAGGTGGACTTTTGGAAGAAGCAAGAATGGTTGGATGAAATAGAACAGCACGAAGTATTAATATCATTATTGATAGTTTGAATTTTGTTCAAGAATAATTAATTTGATATGACAATTTTATTTGATCTAGATTTTAGTAATGACATCACAAATTTTTGTGGATATGCTCTCACATGGATATATAACATTAGATAGAATAAATTTAATTATATTCGACGAGTGTCATCGAGCTGTAGCTAATCATCCCATGAGACAGATTATGCAACGATTTGAAGATTGTCCTAAAGAAAAACAGCCACGTGTCTTAGCAATGTCGGCAACATTATTGAATGCCAATATAAAAATAGACAAAATTGAATCTACAATTAGGGTACAGGATTGCAATTTTTCATTGTATTAATCTTTAAGTATAAGTAATCTTTAATTATAACTTTTAGATATTTTTAAAAATTATATTTTTTAGTCCTTAGAAATAACTTTCCATGCAAAAATAGCGACTGTAGAATCGAGTGACTGTATTCAAGGATATTGTACAAACCCGAAAGAAGATATCGTTAAATATGCCAAATATCTTGCTCCAAATGTAATTGTAATTGAAAAGATAATCCATATTATAAAGACAACTAAAGAAAGTATAAAAAACATAAATATTGATTTAGATGAAATATATAAAGAATCTAGTAAAGAGATGAGACCTAAAACAAAATCCTCCAAATTAAGTGCTATTATGGAAGACATAGAAAAGGTTACCTCAAGCACAGGTAATTAATTTATTTGTGTATGCATATGGTACAAACACACACATACACATACGATATACATACATACATACATACATACTTATATATATGAAACATCACAAGCATTCATATTATTTTTGTTATAGGTATCTATGGTGGTAATATATCAGCTTTGTTACACTTAATTCAGTTAGAATGTTTCAGAAAATATTGCAATGATCAAGTGAGTATATCTGTAACTCGATTAAAATTATTATTGAAAAAGTAATTAAAAAAGATATTTTATAATCTTTTCTCAAATCTCTTTAATAATTTATTAATTTTATTTCAGGTAACAGATAACATTCTAGATTATTTAATTACACAAGTAATCATAATAAGGAAACTATTTGACATTGAAATGAAAAATCATACGGAATTAGAACGATTGTACAAGTTGGTATTGAAAAAATTTATGAAATTTATATAAATTATGATTATATATTGATTAATGCTCAAGAAGTATTGAGTAATGATATAATTTCAGATTTTGTTCCACCCAAATTCATAAAGTATTTGAGATATTGTTGAATAATAATAATGAAATAAACAAACAAAATGAATCAAGCGAACAAAAGTTTTGCTGCATTATTTTTGTTAAGGAAAGATTTATGACTCAAGTAATATATCATATATTAAAAGTAAGTTTTTTTTTATACATTTGATTTAAATATTTATTTAATTGTTTTAGCAATAGTAAGGTTAATTATATTTTAAAGAATATTATATTTCGGCTCTTATGGAAAATTAATAATCATAACTAATAAAAACTTGAAAAACTTAATCAACATTGTAGTAATTTTTAACATTGAAGATTTGTATTATTTTAGAAACTATCTAAACATGATGAGCGGTACAGTTTTCTCAAACCTGATTATATAATTGGATTCCAAAATAATCCTTACAAACAGAGTAGAGAAGTTGCATGTATTGCAAACTGGAACAAGGCAGCATTACATAGGTAAAATTTCGTGTTTTGCACATTTGTTGTTTTTAATCCGCGGATGTGTTTTTAATTTTTATAAATAACTTTATGACTTTATATCTATAATTTTTATATACATTTATTGGAATATTAAAACATTCATGATTGGAATATTTTAATTACTGAAGCAAATTTTGTAATTTAGATAAGCAGAAAAATATTTTATCAAGTCTATATTTAAATAATCAGAAAATGCGTTTTATTACAGATTTAAAACTGGTTCGGCAAATTGCATTGTAGCAACTGATGTTGTTGACGAAGGTATCGATATACCAACTTGCACATTGATAGTGCGATATGATTTGCCAATGGATTTTAGAGGATATGTTCAAAGTAAAGGCCGGGCACGTCATAGTAAGAGTCATTACATAATCTTAATGCCGGATGATGATCATAATTTTCTTCAGAGATATTGTCAATACAAAAATACGGAATCATTATTGAAAAGAGTAAGTAATATCAATGTGATAAGTAACCATAAATCCTTATCATGATTAAAAAAAAAATGTACAATCATGAGACTGAAAATTCTTTTTTTTCTAGTCTAAATATTTTCTGTCTGAAGAAATATTTGGATAAGTATCCATGTATCTATTAACTAATATTTGTGAATACATTATTTAAATAATGCACAAATAAAGGAAATCATACTCATTCTTTTAATAAGAAAAAAAAGAATATTTCTATAAATATTGCAAATCTTTTATAAATTTCTTTTGCAACAGAA